TTCGAAAGTTTGAACAGCACAAAACTCGCTCAATCCGAAATCAATGTGCTCGAGGAGCAAGCAAACGTAAGCAACAGCGCAAAAAAAAGTTTAGCAGAAAATTAGTGAAAACTTGGAGCGACGATAAGGTTTACCTGTTTATATAAATCAAGTGTTCGCAACATTCGAAGGAGAGCTCGCAATAAATAACGATCCACCTGCAACAGAAATGGTTGACCGAAAAGTTCCTAATCAAGCAGTTCAATGGTGAACAACACCGAAGTGTAGAACTCCCACTTGAGCCTAATCTCACAGACTTGGTCCCGAGGGAAATATTTCGCGTATATCCCCAGGGCTATTTTCATACTTTGCGCCTCGGCGTTCTGAGCGAAAAGTATAATATATGTATCGATCGGCACTGGCAAGCTGGTGTTTTTGGAAAAGCAGCGCTTCGAACTTTTTTCTTTGTGAACCGGGTGTCGATCAATAACTGTGCTTTCTCTTCGCTCGAGACACTGAGCCAGAATGCGGAGTAGCCAACTATGAACGCTGTCTAAGCGCCGCTCCTTTTAATCAGATATTAATTGTAGTTTGATAGTTCTAGAGTGCCTATATCAGTTAGTTAGCGTCTTCTACCACAGCGAAAGTGAAGATCTTCTACGACAGAAGTGAGCTGCTTTTCAGCTTATCCCTGTCTCACAGGGGCTTAGAGGCAAGAAAATCAAAGTTACCTGATCTCCAGCCCTTTCTTCGGCAACTCTATCTAAAATTCCAGAGACCAACTTTTTCAGTACACTGCCATGCAGTATAATTTCCTCACGAAAAATTACCAAAGATGACTCCCTTAAAATCATACAATAATAACAAAAAGTCAAAATGCCCACTCGATAAAAAAAACTGCAAAAACGTACCAAATGGGTGATTCGTCAATGTTTTCTAGAATGAAAGTTCTATCAAGGTATAAGAATACGTTACGAATAAGAATCTGAAAAAAATGAGCACCATAGGTTGTCGAGCAAGATTTCGTTTTCGTCATATGAGGCTGATCGAGAAGGTTATGCGACTCTTCTAACAATATGTTTAAAAAAATCGAACCGCGTTCCTTTTTGACCCCTGATAGAAGAAATGACCGAGCAGAAGAAACTCCACGCCGAAACTGCAGTCAAATTGTCGCAGGACTTTCCGATCAACCTTATCAACATAGCAAACGTTACCATTTGTTCACAATAATCACTCCAAAGATTCTCTATCGCCTTCATAAACTCCACTCCACCAGCTACGCACTTTTCACTCAATTCGTTCCTTGAACATGGAGGTTGAGTATTAATTAGCGAGTTCAATTTATGCCTCCACTATAATCAAAGATGATATTTACCCTTCACTGCCCACCCTTTCGGAATTCGCTGAGCTGCGTTCATACTATCGCGCGCTGGACCAGCTCTGGTGTTGACAATCGCGCGATCGAACCGAGAGTATGAACGCGCTCTCAATCCAGACTCTTTTCCATGTAATGACATGGCGAGAGTTCTGCCTCCAGTGGCATACTGACCTACTCCCCGACCACTATACCCGAATATCACATGTTTCTGACGTGTAAACACTCGATTTCGGTACCAAGGGAGGGGGGGCTCAGAATGGAGAAATTAAGGATAAAGGATAAAGTCTTCGCCGTTGATCAATCCCATTGTGGGATGCGTTCTACACGCATTCTACTTCCATTCAGAATCGTAGTGGCTTATTGAATGCGATGTGGCCTATACAATGACTTGCGGTGGCCAGCCGATGTACAAGTCAGTGTTTTATCCTCCCAGACAAATCTGGTACCAATTCACCGTCCCCGGAGGGTAGAAGGCTTGGCGGGCCTCGGGCCCGGGATTTGAACCCGTCCGGCGCGAGTGAAAGCGCAGCCAACTTGTCACTACACCACCTCCTCCTCACGGAGAAAATTAGTCGGGGAAAAAACATGTTCGAGATTCGGTGCTTGAGATCGAAAAACGGAGCAGTGATGGATAAAAAGTACCAGTAGTTATAACAACCAAGGCATAAAAAACGTTTCAAACAACATATCAAAAGGATTACCCTAAATCGACCAATCCACTTGCGGATATTGTCCAACAGCTTGTCATATGTGGTTCTTGCCATTTTATTTTCACACAACGATTCCACCACCTAGACTGTGAAAGCTAACAAAATGATACGACGGTTGATAAAAACAGATTTACTTTATACAGCTGTTCCAAGTTCGTAGTGACATGTTGTTTAGTCTGAATAGCATTTATGCTCGCTTCGAGAGTAAGCCATCCAGTTGCCATCAAATCGGCTATGTCGTCATTCTTTCCTGTAAAGATGTGTAATTAATATATGATATCAATCGGTAGGGCGGGAATTGAAATCGGCGCGCTAATTCTGGGAGACAGACAAACCACCGTAAGTTGTCGCCCGCGGCATATCGCGCGGCGAGTTCTGGTTATTGTCTTAGTTTTGCTCTCTTGACGCAACCGCAAAGTCGTACTGGTTCTCAACAGCGGAAAGACGACTCTCCATGGGGGGTGTAAGATGAGCGGGTAATCTTCCAGTTATCTCAAACGCTCCACAGATTCAAACAAACAGGAAACGATAACACCGTCCGTGGGGCGCGGCGTAGGCCGCTCGCGCCCACGACCCAACCAGCGCAGTAAAATTTTAAAGGCACATTCCGCGATAAAATAAGGCTATGACCTCTCGAATGTGTCGGACGATCCGGAAGGCGATTTTTGAGGCTGCGCTACTTTCAAAATGTGAAAAACGGCAAGAACTTCCGCTAGAAGCTGACTAATTAGGCCCATGGACACCCCTTAGGCCCATGCCGACCCTCACCGGCTGCTAGCTACTAGCTAGTAGCCACTATGTTATCTTTCTCTATAACATTTCGGACTGCTTTTTCTGCTGCTTTTCTCCGCTAATCAGATACTTAGCACTTTTTTGTGCCTATTTGAGTTCCGTTTCCCGCAATTTGCGGTCGCGAACTGTGCCTTTAACTGTCAACATACTCCCGTCTAGGTCCAGCTTTGGGTGAACATGCTGATGCAACGATTAGCAGCTAGTTACAAAGTAACCCACCTCCTCCAAAATCTATTGCCACAAAATAACTATTATATCTTGACTTTTGGGATGACAAAATGGATGAAGAATCCAGCGGAAATCTGCGCACCTGGTCTTGAAATATGTAACCCCGACAACACTGTTTTCTTATCAGTGGAATTATGAAGCATAGTTTAAATTAGCAACAGGCAAATATATGACATTCAAAACACTGTGCATTGCTGTTTTGTTATGATAACTGCTGTTTAAAGGCAGTTGGCACGATGGTTTCCTACTTAGCCTAAAATGCTAGTATGGGCGCTGTATAGTGGGGAAAATGGCGAAAGAACGGAGTGAAACGGTCAAAATCCTGCGAAAGAAAAAGCCTCCGTTCTCAGTGACTTGTAAATCGATTTCGGACGAGTTTCCTGTAGGCATCTTGCCAATCACCGCTACCGAAGATACGGCTTGCATAGTGTACCCATATATGCATGCAGCATCACCGCCCGCTTCATACCAATCCCTTTGCTTCATAATTTGCTCAGCAAATGAATGAATACGAGCGTCAGAAACGGTCGTCCGTTTGTGGGCGGGCGGGCAAGGAAGGCGTTTGGGACGTAAAGTTGTTGCTCAATAGGGCGTTATAGAGGTACCCTCCTGGAAAGGCTTCACGCAGCGCCTGTCCGAGGTCACGGAATTCTGTTAAGCCAGTTGTACAAATCCTACACCTGTATAGCGATTTATCGTGCCAACTGCCTTTAACGCCGCAGTACGCGTTCCGAATGTTATCACAAGAATGCTGAGTTGTGGGCAAAAGTCGTGCCCCAGGCGGGAGTCGAACCCGCACCTCACGCTTTCCGGGCGAGGCTTTTGCCCACAACTCGGCATTCTTGTGATAACATTTGGAACGCGTACTGCGGCGTTAAACAGCAGTCATCATAACAAAAGCTTCAAAAACTTGTAAAGCCTTCGGCCTTGCGGTTCCATGCCGATATCTAACGATCACGGCTGACCGGCTCACCAAGTTAAACGTGTGAGCTGTAAGGCTACGGCATAAGCCGTTAAGCTGAGAGGGTAAAAGCGGCCCTGGTGGCGTAACGGATAGCGCACTCGCCCGGAAAGCGTGAGGTGCGGGTTCGTTTTGTTGTTTCGTTTCGTTTGTGATGACTGTGCATTGCATCCAATGCTCACCCCTACTCTCATTTTGAGTACCCTCGCAATTATTTCGATGCATTCTAGACTGGCCTTAAGAAGATAATCGAGCGCATCTGAATTGCCTCCGTAAAATGTGACTGCATTGCATTGATTTCAATGCACGTGCCCAGACGAGCAAAAAATTCTGGAGGATATCCTCAAGAAACTTGTCGGCGTCCAGTGCGTTAAATACTAGGCAATGAAAGTAATCTATCAATCTCTCTGCGTAAAAATCATAGGCGTTCCAGATAAGGCTGTGCTCATAGTTTTCGTAGGCATTCTGAGCGTTTCGTGCGAAGATGAAAGAAAAGGTATTGATCGGCGCTCGGAACGCTCTAGACGGTGGGTCGATACCTATACTTTCCTTCCACTCAAAATTACAGTTCCTTCCATAACGCTTAGAACGCTCAAAACGGGTGGCACCGGTGGCGTTTTAACCAAAACGAGAGATTTATACCTACACTTTTCTTTTGGCCCAAAACGCTCGAAACGCCGACGAAAACTATGGATTGCAGCTTAAGTACCGATACCAATAAGACGAAATTCTTCACTGCGACTTACTTCGGAAGTTCTTGATCGTGAGCTTTTTCACTGTAGGCAATCCTCGAGAAATCTGTCGTGCTGCCCTTGAATCCACCTATAAGGAGCAATATTAATTGTGAAAATAACGGCTAACACCCAAATACACAAACAACGAAGAAAAACAATACTGCCAGATGGATCTACGAGCTGAACCTTCCATTACTTCTGATATAGGTCATCTGGGCGAAACTCCTGGATAAACTTGAGACTAACCATATTCTCATTCGTATCCTCTCGTTCCTTCTCATTATCGAATTGCTCTACATTGGGGCCATCAATAAGTTGTTCAAACATATACTCGGGTTCGCCTTCGCCAAACACTTGCCGGTACATCTCAGCCGATTCCTCGTCACTCATCACCTCATCGCTCAGATCGGACATCTTCGATCGCTTTGACTGGATCTGAAAACCGAAAATATCAATTTCGACCATAAAATGTGGTGTCCTGGTGCAATAGGGTAGATGTTCTTCAAACAATTCGCAAAGCGACTCATTCACGTCACGTGACGTGATTTACAACGGACGGCATCAACGGTCAGTGCTGAAACAACGCTGCTGACAGCATAATTAACTCTTCACTAAACCTGTTTCACTTTGAACGCACTACAAGTCCAATCTCAATAATGCTTTTGTGCCGGGCCAAGGAGGGCAAGAGAACTTATTATCCTCGCGATAGACAAACAAAACAACCTCAATCATGATAAAATCAAAGCACAAATAAAAAAAAACAAGCCAAAACTCCCCAAATCGCTCATAAACAGCCTAATAAAACGCATTTGCATTCATTTTCAAAGTGCAAACGTATACACTTTGGTGCACTTTTAAACCAGATCTACGCTACGTTCCCAGTACAAGTACATCATTAATGTAAATGCAGTAATTTCAATTAGAAAGCTGCGAAAACGATAGAAAATCGATAACGGCAGCCGCGTGTAGGAGGGGCTATTGAACTTGGAGGTTTGATGTTCTTAGTTCGTTTGTCAATTGTAGCGCAAAGGAACATCACATAAAAAATTTCTGCAGAGAAATGTACTCTTTCACCTCAGGCTGAAACAGCTGAGGTTATACCGTGCATAAATCTATCCTGGGGATTTCAACAGTTTGGGAGGGCACTGCCATACTCAGCGACTAAGAGAACTATGCAGCGGCAGAAGCAAGTGTTTCGAAGCTGTTTTTTATTGCGATAGCTGTTGTTCATAGGCACAGTTCGCGCTCCGAAAGTTGTCCAAGTGATTGTGAGTGTATGGGTGGAGATGTTAACCTCAAATCTTACGGGACTCAAACGCCCACACCTCATGTTTTCCAGCGCTGAGTTGCAGCATCCTTTAGTGTGTTTTTTCTTGCTTGTCCATCAGCGTTGTGGAATACGGCAGCGCTTTGAGGCAATTAGAGAAGTATCGGCGTATTGATCGTAAGCTTCATCGGTATGTATGCCATGAGTTCCCATCGTTTCTCAGGAGTTTTGTAGCTTTCTCACGGTAGTTGCTGAATACTGAATCAATCACCCTCATACAAGCCTCGGACTATTGATATTCGAGGCGCTAAACGTAGTCCACGCGGCGTTCGCAGCGAGCCTCGGAAGACTCAACTCTCTTCTGCTCCCTTCCTCGGCCAAAACTAGAAGTATTTTCGTCGTTGTAGAACCATGGCTTATAACTTCTCGTCCTAGCTATATTCAAAAGTTAAAACAGTTAACACTGAAAAGTGCAAAGAAACAGTTTTAGGCTGCAAGGTTCTTGCCTAAACTACAAAATTTTGTTGCATGTTTGTCGTTGACTGTTATTGTTGACTACAAAAAATCAAATTTTTAGCTTCTGTGGAATTCTTCAGCAAGTTCCCGGTGAATCTTGTTTGTTTTATTCTGATTTGGCTGCTAGATTCGCGTTTCAAGTATGCCGATGAGTGAAGTCGATGAGTCATCGGTCGCCGCGAGCCGCGTGGCCCCCTTCCCAACTACGTTAGCACCTTGCTCCTTTTCAGATATGTTTCCAGAGCCACTTCGGAGGTGGTATAGGATAACTCGACCGCTCACTACGCGTGGGTATGTCAATTCCCAATCCGGCTTGTTCAACCGAACTAGACTACACAGAGCTTATAATATTAAAAAACTATATTAAAAAACTCTCGGCCAGAAGAACCGAATGGCCATCAAAATAATAAGGTCGTGCTATGCTCACATTAATCGATTATCGTACCGTGTATCACACATGTCGAAGGTTTAATATTATAGGAAAAACGCACGAAACGGGCGCTACCCTTCAGGGGCTCGCCTCGTTTGAAATACCGACAGCATTAAAATGGCCCGAGAAGAATGTCCTTGAAAATATCATCTAAAAAGCCATAAAAAAGAGAAAATAAAAAACAGTAATAACCTCAAATGAGACAGATCGTGTACGCTCCCAAAAACCATATTTAAAAAGATAAAGTCACAAAGTTACTAGAATACTCCACTCTATCGTGACGATTTTGCAGCCAC